TGACAGAAGAACCAGATCTGTGGACCTGACCCTGCTTACCATCCAGGCACCTTGGGAGTCAACTAAGGCTGGCCACTGGGCCCTCCCTGTTTTATGGTATGACTTGGCAAGCCCACTCCTGTGTTTTCATGTTGGTTTGTTTTCCTTTTTCTTAGAAATGAGAAAGAGGGGCTGGATAAATGGCTCAGCAGTTACAAGTGCATACTGCTTTTGCAGAGGACCCACACTTAGTTCCCAGTACCTACATTAGGCAGCTCTCAACTACCTGTAACTCTAGCTCCTGGTGGGTTCTGTGGGCACCTGTACTCATGTGCACATACCCACACAGACAAATACATATATTCATCATTAAAAAAATAAAAAGAAAAATTTTAAAAAAAGAAAGAAATGAGGAGGAAACATATGAACATACATTGTTTTATAAACAAACTGAAGATTTCTGAGATGAAGCTACACAACAAAACAAGATCTGGATGACAAATGCCTTCTCCCATCAGTTTAGTTTTTATCTTCACCAAACATTTGGTGGGTGTTGATGTCAAGGGGGATTCCTTGTTTGCAGTTTAGATTAATTTGTAACATACTTAAAACCACACTTACAACCAGGGTAGTAAGAGGCATTCTGATACAAATGTTCCCTGCCGCCTGCGCCTATTTCATCCTGCCCTTGTGAGTTAGGAGGCTTCACAGGGCTGTGGTCGATTTGTGAGCCTTTTTGTATGTTGTTTTCAATTTGATTTGTAAACTTCATCTTCCATTCACAAATCCAGCACTCTGGAACATACTAACTTTATACTATGTGACCAGAAGATGAGTTGTTGCTCTTCTGGCTCCCCCCAGTCGACCTGGGCAAATGGAAAATGGCCGCACTGACCAGCAATGCCAAGAGCAGCTTTCTGAGATGAAGGCACCATGATACTGGTCCCCAGGAGTCTTGCCCACAGCATCTAGGGTGTGGTTTCTGACCAGGAGTCCCACTGCTGTTAACTGGAGCTCAGTTCATTTGAGCTAAATTTAAGAGGCCATAATTATATTTTGTATCAGTTCAAACTAATTGGAATTTAAAGAAACCTGATGTTTAAATAGGGTGATGAGCAATCAAAATTGCAGCACATGAACTCACTTTTGTATGATTTAATTTGTTCCCTAGTAAACATCAGATTTCCTGAAGTTCATTAGTTCTGAATACATCTGTAAAACAAAATAAGGTTCAATTTCTTTTTACCGAAACAACTTAGAATCCTTGGTCTGCAAGTGAAGATGCCTGAGGCCCTAGAGGCAAGACTCTCTTCCTGCCCTGGGGATGTGGGCCCTTTTCACAACAGAAAGCACAGCCCCTGGCACCCCAGGAGTATGGTGGCAGATAGTGTGCACCATAAAGGAGAACCGGGACCAGTGGGGATGGACAAGCTGACTGAGGTGGGGCTACAATTGTGAAAACCCAGGAGATCTTGCCCTTGGCTCTGACTTTGAAAAGAACTACCATCTAAATCAGTCACAGGAAAAGGCTGGCTGTGAGTGTAGTTCAGTAGTAGAATGTTTGTCTAACATGCACACAGCCTAGGATCCACACCCAACACTGTGAAAACTTTAACAAACACAAGGTAAGTTAAATCCCACTAACTTTTATAGCAGAACACTTGTAAGAGAAACAATAGAGAGCCTTCAGCAAGGCTGCCAGTCTTTTCAGAAGAGACTGCCGCCTCCCTTGATGCCATCCTCCCCCCCCTTGACCACCCAGGAAACCCTCCACATCACAGATGGACATTCCCCAGGTGCCCCACGCACCATTTAGGACGATCAGCACTTTCTTCCACTGGGTGTTGCCCACTTTGGGAGTCTGACAAAAAAGGATTTTGTGCTTGTCGCAGACAAATATTCGGTCCAGGACAAACTTAGAGACCTCAGTGTGGGAGAGATTCCTCAGAGCCTCATCCCTGCAGGCATTTCTGATGAGCTCCAGGCGCTCCAGATAGACCAGGGGCTGATCGGGCTGTCTGTCTGAAAGCATCTTCCCAGTTGGCTGCAAGTGAGAGGGATAGAAGAGACAGAGGAATCATGGTTAGGGAGGAGGAGAGACCCTCTGCAGTTCCCTTCTCTTCCTTTCCTTCCATTTCTACAGTAACAACCAGCACTTTCTGACACTTCATGGGGTCAGTCCTCCTTCCATAGCCCTGCTGAGTTCTGAGGATGGACCAGCTGCACAGGTAACCAAGAAAATGGATGTCCACTTGGTTCCTGGTATTTTCCTTCTCTAGAGAAAGTTGATAAACTTAAAAAAAGATGAGAAAGCTCAAGTTCCAAATGACAGTGCACCCTCTGTGGCTGTTTTCAGAACCTAACATGGTGGCTCTGTGGGGGGCAGGACCATGTACTCCAAAGCTACTTGCAGAGTGTTGACTTGGTGTGTGGCAGCTGCAAGGTCTCAAGGGGATATCCAAGAAGGCCTCGACTGGGTAAAATATGTGGCATGGTAAGTGTGTGCACATGCATGCACATGAACACAGTAACTGTATCTGAGTAGAGGCTGGTGGGGAAGAGCAGATGGGGTAGGTGGGACAGAAGGAGACATTATTAGTACACACAGAAGTTGCTCAGTGATCACTACTGCTGCTCAGGCCATTGGGGTGGAGGAGGTGTATGTGGGATGGGCGATCTGCCCAGAAACTGCCTGGGTCTCTAAGTGGCATCCTGAGATAGCAAGGCTGGTTGACAACCCAACTCTTTTGGTCACCTCTAGCCAAGGTCCTGTTTCAGCAGTGTGAAATGCTTTTACTCTACTGGTTCCCTTAAAGCTACACAGAACTTTCCACCGAGATTTCAAATTAACCTAATAAATTAATCTCTAAATTAACCCTAATGCATGACCCAAATGCTTTTGGTGTTTTTTTTTGGGGGAGGGGTTGTTTTTAAAACAGGGTCTCCCTATATGTAGCCCCAGCTTTCCTGGAATTCACCATAAAGACCAGACTGGCCTAGAGTCACAGAGATTCACTTGCCTCTGCCTCCAGAGTGTTGAGATTAAAGGTGTGTGCCACCTTATCCAGCCTGAAATGCCTTTTGTTTATCTTTTGAAAGCACCCACTTGTTGGGCGATTCATTTATAGGGTGGTAGTTAACAGCCTGTCCTCCCTGATCATAGGCCTTCCAGCACATACTCATGCTGGAATGACAAAGGTTCTGCCCGTTCCTGGCTCCCCACTCTTCATGGTCTGCCATGACCAGACTCTCCGGATTCAGGACACCTGCCCAAGTCAATCTTTCTCCCTCATGAGGTTACCTGAGTTTCCTGGGAAAGGGAAGAATGATGTCCTGATGTCCTAAAGGCCTGCTCCTTAGGTAGAGACAGCTAGGAAGGGGAAGGGGTTCCATGCAGAGTGGTCATGCTCCTCCATACATGGGCACTGGCACCACCTGCCACACTCACCATGCACAGCACTCCAGGACCTGTGCCAGGCACCTTCCCTGCTCCTACCATAGGGGGCCTCATTTTACCCACTGTGCGAGTCTTGCACCCATTCCATCTATTGCTCACTTATTCTGACGGGCCTTACTCTGTCCCCACTTGTTGAAATCTCACGCCTAACCCAGATCTTGGACAGCACTAAGAAACACTGCACCATGAGACAGCACCTCCAAGCAAGTTCCTTAGAAGCTGAGGAAAAGGCTTTGTCACTTGCAAATTTTGCTTACTTTGCAAGCATTAAGTATAAAGAAAAAAATGTTTCTTATTTCAATTACATTGCCAACTAGCACAGTCCATTTTCCCTTGCCAAACATACAAATTGGTTTTAATGACTGATCCTATTTTCTACTATTTTTTATTCAAACATTCAGCTTCATGATGCACAAAATTAACTTCTAAAGGGAAGCTATGGAGTCTGACCCCTTTAATAAAATACTTTTCCTGTTTAGGCAAATGTACAATGTGTTTCATTGTCCTTGAACAGTTCTTGGTCTCAGAGATCCTTCCATGTGACAACTCTTCCCCATAGCCTTCCCCTCCAGGTGGTGACAGCCATCAACAGCACAGGGTAGGAAGAGGAGGAGGCACAAGCGCACTACTGCCTGTCCAGGCATACTGGGCCATCGCAAACTTCCCTATGCCTCATGCTCTCCAGTTGTACACTGAGAATAAAAATTATTCTAAGAAGCCTCCCCCAACAGACCAATAAGATTCAAGCCCTGTCAAGTGCCTTGCTAAGAATAAATCATGCTCAGGTGTAGAGCCTTTGCTCTCAATTGCTCCCACAGGCCAACAGTCTTTACAGAAGAACCTCTTCCACTTGACATGGGAGGGTAAGAGCCCTTTTCCCCAGCTGGAGCATCCAAGAAGGGCCTTTGCCTCAAAATGCTTTGCCAACAGCTTACCTGCCCTTGTGGTATTCTCTATCCAAGCACCTAAATCTCTTCTATTAAAGACCTGCCCCCTATTTTCTATAGTTGTTTTTGATCTCTTGTCTTTGCAGTTCATCCAAATTCTGTCTTTTCCCTGGGAAGCCTCAACCTGACAGCAATGTTCCTGGGTTATCTCAAAATAGTTCTGCAGACCTGATCTTTATTACATCAATGTCTTGCCAAGAAGACAGCTCAAATAGCATTCTGCTCTGACCATGGATGCTTTCTGTTTTCACTGGGTTCTAACTTGCTATCTTCTGTTGCTGCGAACTGGATAGTAACTGCCCCTTTTCTTGGGCTAGTTCTGGGCTGATACACGTCTTTAGTGGTTGACACTTCATCCCTTCCAGCTCAATTGTGACCTCCACCTTCCAGACCCAGCATGAGGATCGGCAAAGGAGGGACCTTCTGGAATACATCCTTCTCTCTGGACAGGTAACAAAGAGGGATTCATGTGCAAAAGTAGCCTGCGGAGTCAGTGCCCAGGCATCCAGGGCTGGTGAAGGATGGCTGCTGGCCTCGACCTGTTAGCTGCTATGTGATCTGAGGGACCCTCCTGCTTCCTAGATTCAGCTACCTTAGCCATACATTTTGGAGACTGATTCTATTTTGCTCCTCACTCTAAAACTCCATTCTGGGTCAGAAATCTTTTCACATTCCCAGTTTCTTCCTGTGTTCAACACACTCTATCCTGATGATAATATTCAGTTTGTAGAGAACTTGGCATAATCAACACAGAGTACCTGAAAGTGAGGAACACAGCATAAACGACCATGGGCCTCACCAAAGAGAAGCTAAATGGATGAACGGAAGCACACAGAAGTAGTGAAGCCAACTCCAGGTTGTGAATCCCTTATCCAAAATAGTGCTCCAGATTGCAGACTTTTTTGGATTTTGGAATATTAGAGATATCTTAAGGATGGAGCCCAAGTCCCACCTGAAATTCATTTATGTTTTATATATACCTTATACATATAGTCTGAATTTAATTTTACATAATTGTGTGTGTATGTGTGCTGGGGATTGTGTACACTAGGCAGGAGCTCTACCATTGAGCTATTTCCCTAGCCCTACACAATATTTTACATAACTGTGCACAAACTTTATGGTTTAGAAATTTTCACTTATGGTAACATGGTGGTGATCAAAAAATTTCAAATTTTGAAACTTTCAGATTTTCAGATTACGGAGTTTTCAACCTGCACTACGAGTCAGGCTGCAAGGACAGGTGGGAATCTGTAGGAGCAGATGGGGGAAACTGCTCCAATGTGGCATGGACACTGTTCCCTAAGGAGGCAGTGTTCATGTCAGAAGGGATGGGATTTGTGCCCACCTTCATGTCCTCAGGAAAATGCTTCTCCTCTCTTAACTTCCCTGTTTCCGGCATGGTCGTCAGGAACAGAAACTCTTGCTTGGCATTGTACCCTGGAAGACAAGAGGTTCAGATGTCTTCTCCCAAAGCAACAGGGACAGAGATTGAGGGGATTAATGTAGCCCCAGGAAAGACTCCAACTACTCATTGATGCACAAATGGCTTTTGGCAAAAACAGTTCAATGAGAGGACAGTCTCCTCAACAAACGGAGCCAGGAAAAGTGAACATGTACTGACAAAAAGACAAGCCTCTACCTAAGCGTCACACCTTATCAAAATGAATTCAAAATCAACCTGAGGCTTAACTGTAAAATGCAAAGCCACAACACTTTATTTTTAAACAAACAGGACAAGAATCTTTAGAAAAACTGAATACCAAAATAAAAAACTTGTGCTTTTTGAAAGTCCATTTAAAGAGGAGGAAAAGATAAGCTTCACACAGGGAGAAAATATTAGTAGCCTCCATATTTAACCAAGGACTTATATCTAGAAGATATAAAGAAGTTTAGAATTCAGCAGTGAAGAAACCAAACCAGTTGACCAGAAAATGAGCATGATATGCAGAAATGTTTCACTGAAGAGAGAGAGAGAGTACGTAGGGCGAATAAACATGGGAAGAGTGTGTGTAGGGTGAATAAACATGGGAAGAGTGTGTGTCGGGAGAATAAACATGGGAAGTGTGTGTGTAGGGTGAATAAACATGGGAAGAAAGTGTGCAGGGAGAGTAAACATGGGAAAAGATCTCACTCTCACTGGCCCTGGGGCAAATGCAAATCAAAGTTCTAAGGAGAAAGTACTATAGAGCATCAGAATAACTTTCAGGGGAAAAAAAACCAACACACCCAATGCTGGTGAGTATGTGGAGAAACTTGGTCATGTATACACTGCTGGCAGAAAAGACTCTGGAAAAGAATCTGTGTGCTTCCTAGCATTTAATCCAGATAAATGAATATTTATAAACCCTGCATACAAAATGTTTGCAGAAACTTCGTTCATAATAGCCCTGAACTGGAAACCTGGAAACAGCTCACATTCTGTTCAACAGGTGGTAGACAAGTGCAATAAAAAAGCCACTGATGCTGGATAAATATCCAGGGAATAATGTATGTGAAAGAAGTCAAAGAGGCCACATGCTACCTGCATTTCTGAACTGACACAACTATATAGAGAAAAACACATTAGTTGCTCCAGGAGTTGAGGTTGGGGAGGAGGGATGTGTATATGGTTAAAAAGGGCAACACAGCTGGGCACAGTGGCACATACCAGCACAACCCCTGCATTTCAGAGGCTAAGGCAGGAGGAATGTAAGTTTGAGGCTAACCAGAGCTACACTGTGAAATCCTCTCTGAAAAAAATTCAAATTAAAGCCAAAACCAAAGGACATGATGGACCCTCAAGGTAATAAGAGGTATTCTGTGCTGGGTGATAGCAATGCCAGCATCCTCCTTATGATCCCAACAGTGTAGTTTTGCAAGATACTACCACTTGGGGAATACAGGATCCTTCTGTGTTATTTCTTAAAACTGTATGCCACGCCTCAGGGATCTACAAATAACAAATTTAATGTCAAACAAAAACCCCAGCACTCAGGTTGGCGCTTTCACATCACTGTAGGAAGCCATGTGACTGTAAATCAGACGTCAGGAAAATACAGTACCAAGGGCTTGGCCAGAGCAAAAGTGGCCACAAACTAATTCTGTGGAAATCTTTAGAGTAAAACCCAAGGATAATCTATAGCTTCCTGAAAACAAACATGTATTTTCAAAAAATTCTGAAGTCTCACCATTAGAAAGAAAAGGTAAATTTATAATAGAAGGATAAAACTGGGCATACAAGGGCACTATTCACTTGAAAAAATTAAAAGTTCCTCTCTTGGGTCAGTAATGCCTACATGCTGCCTGCTTCACTGTGGCCCGGAGAACTGCCCCGGGCTAGCTGCTAATAGCCACCTCCCTCCAGCACACAGAGCATCTGCCTGTCCTCTATATTCTTTCTCTGCACAGTGAAAAGAGAACACACTATAATGCCCCGACTACAATGCCACTCATGCCTCCCACACTTAGTTACTGGACCCCACTGCACACTCTGCTACACCTCTTCATGAAGCCCACAACCATCTTTCTCTCTTTTCCTGTTTGACTGAAGGTGCAAACATAGCTGGAGCTGTGTGCATGAGCTGTTCTGAGCCTGACAGAGGGTGAAGAGGGTGATGCTTTGCGGATAAGTGGACAAAGGCATGCCAGCCATTGACCCCAGTGCTGAAATCAACATTGCTCCAACCTCCATTGTTTTAATTGATCACCTTTGAGTGCTGACATTCTAAATGGATTTGTCAAACCTATGCTTTCTTATTAACGTTTTAGATAGGGAAGTGTGTCCTGAATGCTGAACAACTGGCTCTTCAGTGAACTGTGGAAAGTAATCTGTTTCCCATACTCAGAACACACAAAAGGCCATGAACAGCTAAGGAACTTCTCACCCTCCAGCACCAATGCTCCCTCACCCCTGATAGTCATGTGCTAGGATAAGCACATTCATGATTTCAAGCTTCCTAGTTTTGATTCCCAGCTTACCCAACCCTATTCTACCACATTCAGATAGAGGAGGTAGTACAGGCTAGGTTGGTTTTCTCTATCTGCTGCTTGGCTGGAGGTGAGTTATTTTCAGCAGCCACAGCACCTCTGCTGGGAGATCAGAAGTCCCTCTCTCTACCCTGCTGCCCCTGAGAAGCAAGCCTCCAACTTCAGGGTAGGGGGGTTCCGATCCTCAAAGTATGGCTGGGTATCTTCTTGTCTGATCTCACCTTTGCTGACAGTCATCATGTTTATATTTTTGTGCAAAATGTCTGAAATGGTAAGTGAAGCACTGCTTTGCTTTTCTAAAAACAATCATATCCCTCACCTCACTGATGACTGTGCCACGTAGCTACTCGGTCTCTCACAACCTCACAACTTGGTCTGCCATCCATGCTGGGAGCAGGGTGTGCAGGCATTCCAGAGTATGAGCTGTGCCCTCCAGCCACATAGAAGCAAGCTGAGGGGTCAAGACCAGGCCAAAGACTAGAAGAGGAAGGCCAAGAGAAGGAAGAAAACTCCTGTTGACAGACCCACCAGACCCACTCAGTGTTATTATTTCAAGTCTTGCTATTAACATCTGATCAATAGGACATGAAATTTGCTAAGGATAAATCATTTCACAAATGTGGCTCCATCACTGAGCTGAGTGAAACCATAAAAGTATCAACAGTGGCAAGCACGGCTTCAGCAGCAGTTCAGAACGAACGAGCCCGTCTCTCAGCTGGAGTGACCAGGGAAATCGTGAACAGTACTCATGAAGAAAACACACATACACACTGGAGCTGGGACTCTGCACCAGGAATCCATTTCCCAGATGAGATAGCCAGCAGGAAAAAGCAGCCCCAGAGACAACCATATTACCATGTTCCTCTGAACACCAAGGCCAAGGATCCTCCAACGCACTTTAGAAGAAACAGAACTTCAGCCTGGAGACTGGGCTGTTAGATACTTCCTCAGAATGATACCACTGGGGCCAAGAGCAGAAACAGTGTGAATGTATATGAAACAAATGCCAGCATGTGAGAACTTACAGCCTGTGAGGTTGAAAAGTCTCCTATGACAGAACAGTCTAGAAAAATCCAGGATGGCAGATGAGAGAAGTCTGTGGCACTTCCAGCCCAGGCCAGTTGACGCCTTGGGGTAGACACTGAGTACTTAACTTCTAGAGACTATGCCAGCTTAATCACTCAGACCGACAAGATACTGTTTGAGTAAGTTTGCTCCCTTCATTCAGAAGTAAGCAGATGGATGTTCATCTCTGTGAGCTGACCTGATACCTTGGGGACAATGACATTAGATCCTCTATGAGTCAGGACAGGCTGGGCTAAGTAGTGACAGAGACCTCACAATTTATGGGACCTGAAAGCAAAGAATCTTCTCGCTGTCTGAGTTCACAGCACACTGATGGGTGACAGTATCCTAATCTGAACATCACCTTGCAGGGAAGGCACCAGGAGTGGGCCCAAATGTGCCTCCGACCTCTCAAATTAAGGCAGAGTTGGGATGTTTGGTAAGCTGTGCTAAAGTTTTTCTCCAGGTTAAAATCTTGAAGGTCAAGCTGGCCAGATGGCTTAGTGGGCACTTGCCACCAAGGCTCGATCCCTGAGCCTCACATGGTAGGAGACAACCAATTTCTATAAGTTGTCCTCTGACCTCTACATACACACCCTGGCATGTGGCATACCCTCCCTCATGCACACAAAATAAGAAAAATGCAGTAACATTTTCTTTTAAATCTTGAAGATCATCTTTTTTTATGGCTTTTTGCCTCCAGTGCCCCTAAGGTGCTGCTCTCCTTCACAAACCTTCTCCAGCATCTATATTTTTTGATAATATTCAACATGCTAATATCCCAACACTGTGACATTTTGTTGATCAGACCTCACTGGAAAAGGTGTTCTTTAAAAGGTCTTTCATTAGAAAACATTGAAAGGCAAGGGCACATATTTTAACTATTATTTCAGCTTTGGTTTGTTTTATTTTTGAGATGAGATCTTACTTTGTTGCCTATTTGGTCTGTAATTCACAGGCTCAATCAATCCCTGAACCTGAGCTGGGATGGCAGGTATACCATGTTCAGTTTATTTACCTATAATTGATACAAGTCTCATTAAGATATAGTATACACAATCTTGTTTTGTGAGACAAGGTCTCCCTGTCGCCACAGCTTGCCTGGAACTCACTATGTAGAACAGGTTGGCCTCGATCTCTCAGAGATCCGCCTGCCTGTGCTTCCTGAGTGCTGGGATTAAAGGTGTGCACCACCATGGCTACCTATACACAATCTTGGTTTTTTTTTTTCTTTAACAGAACAAATTAAAAACACTTTAACCTTGTAACCTGCCCTTCAATGCTTTCTTTATCAAGAAGTGACATCTACCCAGTTCTGACTTTTTTCTAGTACACTGTCTAGAACTGGTAATGCTAATTACTCTTGCCTTTACTTCTCCTTCACATCTCCTATTCACAATTCAAGGACTTTCTTTTCTCCTTAGAGATAAGAGTATGCAGTTTGGGAGTCTTTTAGACAGACCCACTGGAGGGTCCAATTGCCTCAACCTTGCATCCCTGTTCAGCATGGAAGAAGCCAGAGCGGTCTGCGTCCCGGTTCTCTATTGGCAATTTGGGTAACCTCTTCAGAGGATGGTGTGACAAGAATAGGAGGTAGGAATTGGCTAGGCAGTTAGGGTAAAAAGACCCCAAAGAAAAGTAGCCAGTTTCTTGGCTAAAACTCGGAGTGTCCTTGTGCCTCTTAGCAACAGACTCTGTTCTAAAAGCCAAAAATGTCTAAAGTATTTGGGAGCTTGTATTTAATCCTTATAAAAATTTAGGGTTACCTCTTCAGAGGGGGGAATGTTAGAGTAGGCAAAAGCTCCATAAAAATAAGTAAATAAATCAAAGAAGAAGAAAGAGTATATGAAGTTATCAGAAAAAAAGTGATGGGGATATATGGGAGGAGTTGGAGGGGAGGGAGTGGGCATGGATTTGATCAAAACACCTTATATGCATGTATAAAATTCCAATAAATTATTTATTAAAAAAAAATCTCAGCCCCAGTAAAGGAGTCCTTCTTACCCCCTCCCCGGGGATGGGTTGGGGAGAAACTGCTCACAGACAATGTTCTGAGGGAGATATGAGCAACATATGCTGCCTCCTCATAATGTTTAGCACCCCAAGTAGTTAGTAAATATCTGATGGCTGTTAAGTGGACACTGTAGAAGTGAGACCAATATTGAAGAGTTGGAGAGAGGACTTTTGTTTGTTAACTACTGCTCTGTGGAAATAAGCTAACCAGATGTCTTGCCTGACATTCCTGTGCAGATCAGCAGAGCAAATTCCTGGAATGTGACTGGCTTAATCTCTGCAGGGCAGTTGTTATCACTGAATCAAGAGTTCTGTAAATTGGTCAGCTTATCTGCAAACTGTGGGAAATTCTCTGACATTTAAAGGGAGGCCGTGTGGAAAAGGGCATTTAAAATAAAGCTTTGTTGTGTGTTTTGAAGAATAAAAGAAGTGATATTTAGAGACAAGTCACACTCTCAGCAGCACTTCCACTTTCAGTTTCCAAGCTGTTCCACACCTGTGGCCCTTACGCTTGGAATTTATCCGACTCACCACAGGAGGTTCCAGAGCCCTGCAGGGGAAGTGGCCGCAGGAGGAGCAGCACTCTCTGTCTTCTTGGGAGATCACCAATACTGGTGGCAGGTGACTGTGCTGACGCTGCCAACATCCCTAAACTGTCACACTAAGATCACTGTTCAAACTCTAAGATTTAAGAGTCGCTTAAAAAAAAAAGCATTATATATTTTATTGCCATACATGCCCCTATAGAAATGTTGCATAAAACCAAGTCAGCTGTTTGCATTTCACTTCTTGATATGTATATATCACACTAGCACTGTTATGGTTGAACCCTCTCTCTCTCTCTTTCCCCCTCTCTCTCTCTGATCATTTTCAACATACTATGAGAAAGTAACAGAACTAAAAATGGACAAGGTTGAGTTCCCTACACCTTATTTCTTTTTTAAATATATTTTTTATTGAATTTTGTGGATTTCATAAAATATGCTTTTTTGATGGCGCCTCTAGTCCCAGGCAGATGATGGCCCTGGCACTCAACACAGCAAGTGTAACACCAGTTTCCCAGGCCATGCAATCCCCATTGGCTTTCTCCCAAGGATTCTGGCAGAAAACGAGAGACTTGTGGTGAGTGCCACGTAGAACCTACGTGACTTGTAACTACCCTCAACTGCAGCCATGAGAACCACCACCTGGGCTGACTTCAGGGCTTCCCTCTTCTCCCTGCAGATTTGTCTTGTTTCTTCATAGGTAAGTGCAACAGAAAGGATGGAGAGGAGGTATGGGCTATTGATGGTCCTCAGCACAGCCAGGGACATGCCTGGAGTTCTGGGGATATAGAGAGACCTGCAGCCCACTGCTCACACAACAGCACAGGCTGGTACAGAGCAGATCAAGAACATTGCTGGTACAAATGCATTTGTAATGAGCCACCTAGAGCAGGAGGATACACAAAGCACTGTGCAAAGATGATGTGCTCTCTTTGGTCCTAGTTCCCTAGGAACCACTTCTCTGGCCAGTCTATAGCTACTAATGAACAGTCCCCACAAGCCCATGTGCTTCAGCTCCTCCACTTAGCCCTAGAGGGAGCAGTGCAGAGTTGAAGAGCACCATCCCATGTCTCCTTGGACACAGCTAGTCCTTCACTAACTAGAGCCCCAGCTGGGAGTCCCTTGGAGCAGGAAGGCATGTCCACTTCAAAGAGAGAATGCTGAAGCTTAGGTAAACAAATGACAGGAACAGAGAACAAATCCAGAGCTCTTTATAATCCTCTTCTGAATGTCTGTTAAGTAAAGAGGACATGAAATCCAACAGTGCAACCTGACAACACACATTTAAATGGCCCACCTTCCATCATAATGATGGTGACTTCAAACATATGCCACCAGTGTGGAGCACCAGGTGGCACCCAGGCAAACTGAGCAACCATGGCTCTTACAACATGAGGTTGGAGGCTCCCAGGCTGGGGACTGTGGTACTCCTTCTGCAAGGAGCTCAGAAATGATGCAGGAAGGGAACCTCTGTGTTTTGAGGGTGACACACTGGAGGAACCTGAGGCGAGCCTACATCATGCCCCACCTCTCTCTTAGGTCTCTGTTATGTTCACAAGTCATGCATATCCTTTGGCTCTGAGGCAGCCATCACTTGCACATGTACCTGGGAACAGTGTTTGCCACCTATTTAATATTCATTAATTGATACTAGGAAACGATCACAAAGCATACCTACCATCCGGGTCTTTAAAGGTCAATGTGATGAACTTGCTAGCCACCATGAACATGAAAATCACCCAAAAGCATGCGGCCAACAGAAGCCACTGGTGGTGCATGTTGTCAAACAGGAGCCATTCAAGATCCTTCCTGGAAGATACAAATCAGATACTTCTGTCACTTAGAATAACATAGAATGGGTGATTTCAATTCACAGAACCAATACCAATATGAACATTTTTCTTTTTTCTACAGTGAGTTTTAAAAAAAAAAATTTGTTATTTTTATTTTATGTGTATGAATGTTTTGCCTGCATGTATATAAGTGTACCACATGCATGCAATGCCCACAGATGACAGGCGAGAGCATCAGATTCCCTGGAACTGGAGTTACAGGTGGTTGTTAGCCACCATGTGGGTGCTGGGAACTGGATCCAGGTCCTCTGCAAAAGTAATATGCACTTTTAACTATTGAGCCAACCTTTACAGTGGTTATTTTGACTTGAGCGTTAATGAATACTACTGAAGGGTACATCTTATATGCAATCAACTTCAAACATCCAGGAGAGGAGGGTGACAACGACAGAATGTCTTCCCTGTTTGCTTTTGGAATCCAGGAGAAGGCTTTGCTGCTGCAGATCTGACTCCTGTCGGGGCCCTGGTCAGTGTCACAGCAAGAAGTCTGTATAAGGACCTGGAAAGAGAGGGGCCAGCAGGAGCCCTGCTAGAGACTAGATTAGATCTTTGCTGGGTAATTTCCAGAGTGCAGAAACAACAGAGACAATCAGGAAAGGCTGCATTTAAAGTGCTGCCTGGCTGACAAGATGTAGCCGCACCTAGAGAATATAAAACAGCAAAGAAATGAGCTCCTGTGCTTCTCACAGCCAGTCATTTGTCTGTGAACCTTGGGGGTGAGTTCTTCCTAGTACCAAGGCTCAGGAGTGATCTTGGGCATGTCAATTCGTCCTCAGTCTGTCATAGAAGTCACTCTCTGCTACAGACATACATAAGAAACCTGGAAGTCACCAACAATCCTCAGCAAGAGAGGTAAACATGAGTGTTTCATTTCAAGTGGCACTTCAGGCCAGGCCAAGACCATCTAAAGAGATTACACTAGGCTTGTTTCCACCAGCTGACTAGGTTAGCCATTAATCTGGACAACAGAACTGGTCCCCAGTCTGCTGCCAACAGCAGGTTCCAGAAACAGCTTCTTAACCTGTCTGGTTGGAGCTCAGTCAAAATAATAAAACTCCTTCTTCCACAATGCTTGTGCTCTAGGGCCTGGAACCAGGCACCCAAAGCTCGGGTTCTTTCCACAGCACATGCAAGCGGTTCTCCAAGCCCCACCTGAGTACAGCCTGTGATGAGGTACTTGCCACTTCCCAAGATGCCTTTCCAGGGTGTCCTGTGAATCACTCTCAGGTGGCCACACACAAGGCCCAATGTGTTTTCTGGAGTCCCCAAGTACGGTTGCCAGATTAAACAAAAACATGAGTATAGTTAAAGTTTAAATTTCAGATAAACAATAAATTTAGTCTCTATTTTTCTGTACACATATGTAAGGCCTATTGTGTCCTGAGTATCCCCAAGTAAGGTTGCCAGCTTCAACAAATAAAAATATGGGATACCAAGTTAAGTTTAAGTTTCAAGTAAGCAACACATAACTGTTTACAGATATGTCCCAAATACTGCATGGGACATACTTAGCAGTGAAAAGGCAATTTGCTGTTTTCTGTTGTTTTTTTTTTTTTTTTTTTTTTTAATTCAGATTTAACTGTGCCTTATGGTTTATCTGTTAAGGGACCTGCTAGATCCCCCAACTGCCTGAGGCAGGCTCCCTGAAGTCTCCTTCCTCTCCCCCCTCCTCATTTGGGAAGCTGAGTACAAAGTAAAATTTCCGAGATGCAAGCTGGCTCTTAAGCCACTAGCTCTATGGCTTGGCCTCTGTGTCCCACCTCTGACAGGAGGCCTTTACCCTCCTAGGGTGACAATGAGATGAAACCATGCCAATAAAGGAACAGCACCTACTGCATATTGTAGAGCCCACAGACCCCAGAGAACCAGGTTGCTTAACTCCTTGTCAACTCTGTGACTTTCTGGTTTACTCTATTCGAGTGTGGTATGTTCTAAGAAGACAGGAAAGGAGGGCAGAGATGCCATCCCAGATGACTACTGCTTTTCCCTTTTACAGGTGAGGGTTAGACGGTGCTGGGCCCTGTAGTCCTTAAGTCCACTGAACTTGTACTCAAGACAATGATACTTGGAGGTGTCATCCCCATTGGTGGTGGAGTGGGAGTGTCCTGCAGAGAAATTTCAGTTGCAGGTCTTTTGCAGTATAGGGACCAGAGACAAGTCTCAAGTGCTGGATGCAGTTCAGAACAAAGAGGCCCTTATGCAGAACAGCCTACACACTCCTGAGATATGTGCTATGAGTAAGTGATCACAGATGAGGGAACCACATGAGCTGACCCCCTCACACACAGATTTGTTCACTCTGAACAGCAGGTATTAGAGAACACCAGGGCACTGCCTACTCTGTCACCTGCTCCATTCATTCCCTGTGTACCTCCTGGGCATTCAGGCCCCTGAGTAACCTTGTGCCTGGTTTCAGGCTCCAGGGAGGTTTTATAGTAGAAGAATCTAATGTCTGTGGGAATTGCCTTCTGAAGGGATCTGATCTGATTTGTGCACTGGGCTCACCACTTGATGAAGCAGGAGGACAATGAATAAAGAGCTCCCTGAAATGCAGATGTACTGCCTGGCTGGTATAGGGAGGAGTTCCACTCCAAGGCTCCCACCTGGGCTGCAGTCAGGGCCTGTCTGTCCTCTTCCTCCCCTAGCTGGGTGGCTGTGGGTTTGTCATAAATGGCTCTCTGGGTCCCAAATTTCCCATCTCTATGAGTAACACTGCCACCTGCATATGTGCCAATGTGTTCAGGCTCGTCACAGTATCTCCTTAACTATCACCCAATTAATAGTATCATCGAATGAGTTCATTTTATTTTCAAATAAGTTTAATTTCCAGTTTAACTTGCCTAAGTGCCCTCTGAGCCGATATCTTGACAGCCCCTTCCTTTCCCAGCTCAGCGGCAATGCAGGATTCGGGGAGGAGGGTGCAAAGCTCTCCCTCCTATTGGCTTCACAGCTCATCTGTTGCTTCTCCTCCTTAAGACTGTGATTAGGATGCATGGTGGCTCCAGGGTGACATAAAGACTTAGAAAGTATATGTGCACAAACTAGCCCCTGCTCAAAAAGGTCCCCTGAGAAAACTATTAGTCCCTTACTAATACCTCAAGCACAGACTAGGCCAGACTGCTGCTGGCACATGACCCCATGTCCTGCTTTGGGCTCTTTACAACTGGGCTTCTGGGAACTTTTGAGCAGGATCTGCTCTTCACTCCAAAAGGAAAAAGCAAGTTTCCCTCATCACCTATCCCACTGGTACCCCAACATTGCTCTCTATCACTTGGCAGCCTGAGGCTTCCGCTGAACACTGCCTACTACCCCTCCTGACATGTAAGGTCATGCCACTTGATTAAGCACACCAAGGACTAGAAAGTGCCAGGTGCACAGGGAGCCAACAGTCAGTATTTGCCGCACCACACTGACCACCACTTAGGAAAACCAGAAGACCTGAAAGGTATGTCAGGAGCTAGCTTGCCAAAGAGTTTCAAACTTTGGAAAGCATGAGGCTGTTTTGCAGCCCCACAATATTTCCAGCCTCTACATGTGAGTAGCTACTTATTTAATATCCCTTAACTGATACTAGGAAACAACCTAGAGCTTCAGAGTTACTTGAAAATCAGATTATATTTCTAAGTAACGGCATGTGTATGTACTTGAATAAATACTTGACATAAAACATGTTGGGCTGCAGAGGTGGTTCAGCAGTTAAGAGTGCTTGTTCACCTCTAAGTCCGGCTCCAGAATATCTAACCAATACCTTCTTCTGGTCTCTGTAAGCACCTGCACTCATATGCACATACCCACTCATGGATGCATGGGGACAGACACATGGGGATGGACACACACACACACACACACACACACACACACACACACATTAACAACAACAAAAAATCAATCTAGTAAGGCATGGTGGAGCATGCTTTTAATACCAGTACCCAGGAGGCAGAGGCAGGCAGATCTTTGTGAGTTTTAAGATTAGCCCAGTCTACACAGGGAGTTCAAGGCCAGCCAGGGCTACATAGTGAGACCTTGTCTCAAAAAATAAATAAAATATACCTTAAAAAAAAACATGCCAGTTGGGGGAGCTAAGAAATTATTCTGGAGTCTAAAAACTTCTAAATTGTTACATAAAATGCTACACTAAAAGCCAAGCCAACTGGATAAATCCAAAGTGTCAACAAAAATCCGTATACAAAAAATGGAGTTGCAGAATTGGTGCTTGATCCAATTTGTTAATAAAAAATTATATGTATATGTATATATATATATTTTTGTATGTGGATGTAATTGTACACACATGTAGACATATGTCCATAAACACAGAATAACATCTTAAGAGGATGGGGAGGTGACCCTTTTACTTTAGACTTGCTTTTGTTAAAAAAAAAAAAAAAAAAAGACATTCATCCTCCTTGCAATAAAAATGAACAAAATGTTAAAGAATGTCTCCTACATACATGTACCCTGATGCTTTTAGCTGCTGTTTCATTTTATTCTACTTTACTACTATTAACCACAATTTCTTTACCACTTACGGTATAGGAAAGAGTGGTAAATACTTTTCTAGCCAGGAAAAACTTCTGAGCTGGCAAAGTCAACGTGTACCAGAATACTTAGCAAACTCATCTCTCTTTCTTAGTTCTTTAAAATTTTTTTCTTATTTATTTTTATTTTATGTGTTTGAGTGCTTTACTTGCATGTACGTACATGCACCCATGTTGTGCAATGCCCATGGAGGCAAGAAGGCATTGGATCTCCTAGAACTGGAGTTACAGATGGTTGTTAGCTACCATATGGAAGCTGGGAACCAAACCGGGGTCCTCTGCAAGAGCAGCTGGTGCTCTCAACTACTGAACCATTTCTCCAGTCCTTTTTAGTTCTTATTCAGTTTCTTAAAATTTGGTAAAATATTTAAAACATAAACTACAGAAAATAATATAACAAGTACCTTTTACATATACT